GCTGCTTTTTCAAATTTTGAAATAGAAAAGGGGGGATTAAATATCTGGGAATTACAAACTAACAGCCACAGATTATTATTTCAAAACAGCTATGAAAAAGCCTGGAAAGATATTAAAAGAGAAAAATGGGGGAAATTAAATTTACCGTATCCCTTTGAGATAGGAATTGCCAGAACAAAGGCAAATGTTTTGCCAAAACTTTTATTTTTCTTTAAAATGATCCCAATTAAAATAAGTTGAGTATCTTTTGTGCAGTGGCAGACAGATTTCTACATTTGTCTGGCAGGCAAAAAAAAAAACCAGAACAAAATTTAAAACATCGCATGGAAAGGAGCAACTTGGGAGTCCCTAATGTTAAACTGTATTATGATGTCTGTTGTTTTGTACAGCTGAAGGAATGGATAATGTTTAGAGATGTGTGATTCTTGGAACTTGAAGGCCATAATTTAAGATTTGGTTGGCATGGTTATCTGTTATATGGTAAAGATAAGGCACATACTGAATTTAAAAATCATTGTACAAGTTGAGTTTCTCTTATCAATTGGGACCAGAAGTGTCTTTGATTTCGGAATATGTGCATTTGCATATCTGTACATAACAAGATGTGTTGGAGATGGGACCCATTTCTAAACACAACATTTATTTATGTTTCATATACACCATATACACATAGCCTGAAGGTAATTTTGTACAAAATGTTTAATAATTTTGTACATGAAACAAAATTTGTGTACACTGAACCATCAAAAAGATGAGATGCCACCATCTCAGCTACCCATGTCAACGGTTTTGGCTTTTTGGAATATTTCAGACTTCAGAATCCAGATAAGGGAGATTCAAGTTGTATTAGAAAGGTTCTCCTCCAAGTTTGATATGAGGTTAAACAGAGACTTCTTGCCAAGCTAATACAGCTGGCCCATCATACCAGTGGGCTAGCCATCCACGGACATGAGCTTCCACAGATCACCCTGGCACATTATTATCAATGGTGGTGCATGCACAGTCGTATGTACATTGCTGCCCACTGACTATAACAGGACTTGAGTAAGCATGTTTTTCCCATCTACAGCCCCCCCCCCAAAAAAAAACACCAAACTCATGCAGATGGGAAGGTATGCTATACAGTCAGGACTGGGGTATGTGTGTCAAACTGTGTATTAATTGTATCTTTTTCCTTCTCGCTGTTTTTTCTTTTCTTCTTCTCTTCCACTCCTTTTTCTCTTCTTCTTTTCCCCACCTCCCACATTCTTTATTTCTGATTGTATATTATTTTGATTGTGGATTAGATTGTTTGTTAAAATTATTAACACTTAATCTAAAAGAGAGAGAGAATTTCCTTCCTCGTGCCAAAAGCAACATTCATAAACATTTACCCACAACTATGCTAAACCTGGGCAGTAATTTTCCATCATCTCCATAGGACTCACATTTCTGAGTAAAGGTTATATAAGCCAGGAGGTGACTACCCTACCTAGACCAACTCTCTTCACCTTGTTCTCCTTTAGATTTGCGAAGTGAAAAAATATCTGGTTCCCTTCCTGGAAGCCACTCATTGCCAACTGCTAGGAGTGATGGGAGCTACACTGCAATACCTTGGGAGATCCCCATGTTGCCCATCCCCATGCTTTAAGGGAAATCAAGATGGGACAGCCTTGCCTTGCATAGAAGCAGGAAAGAAAGAAACTAAGGACATTTTGTCATTGAATATTCTCCACTGAATGTTAATTTGTGTTGAGATTTGATCAATGGATTGAAAGACAGAGGGGCATTTGTAATGCACATGGGTGGCTCAAGTGGTTAAGACGCTGACTCTGTTGATTGCAAGCTCCTGTCCCTAGTCCCAGCTTCTGCCAACTTAGCAGTTCGAAAGCATACAAATACAAGTAGATAAATAGGTACCACTTTGGTGGGAAGGTAAACAGTGTTCTGTGCAATCATGCTGGCCCCATGATCACAGAGTAGTCTCTGACAACACTGGCTCTTTGGCTTAGTAACGGAGATGAGCACCGTTCCCCACGGTCGGACACGACTTGACAACCTTGTCAACCGGGAATCCCTTTACCTTTACCTTTATTCTGGCCAATACTGGTTGACTCAAACAAGAGTCACTCTAAACCAGAGACTCTTCTGAAGTGTGGGTGCTCTATTCTGCCGCTAAAGTGCAGTAACGGATGTCACTTCCAGCAGAGGAAAGAAGGTGGCTCATTCACCCCCAATTTGGTGTTAAGCGAGAACACCTAAAATTCCCTCTTGAGGCTTCAAGGGGATGAATGCAATCTACATTTCCTGTCTCTTAAACCAGCAGGACAGCAGCACTGTATGTCTGCCAAACTCCACCCCAGGTAGCCACACTTGCGGCCAAATGATTCATCAGTCAATTAGCAAAAAGATTGCCAATGTGTTTCAGGAGATAACCTCAACACAACAGAGGCAGTCCCATTAAACCATTATGGAGGAACACTGGCATTTTAAGCCATATCAGATTATTTCTTTAATTTACCATGGAAGAAAGAAAGAAACAAAATCCAAAATTCCCATCAGCACTTTAAATATGTACATCTTTCCTTAGCAGAAATGAGTACAAAAGGTCAACAAAATAATAAATCCATACTAAATCCACTCAGCAGCATAGCCGTGTTAATCTAGATATCAGTATGCAAAGGGATGTTGTAGCACCTTTGACAGTAACTAGGTGACAGAGGTTGTAGCATAAGATTTTGTATGCCATTCATCTAAGGAAGTAGATCAAGTCTACAAAACCTTATGCCACAATCTCTTTCACCCAGTTAGTCTCAAAGGTGCTGCAAGATCCCTTTGTGTACCAATAAGTAAAACTACTCACATTGCACTACCAATGGTTTGAAAAGTGAAGGCTTGGTTAAGAAATTGGCCAAAACACTAACCAAGAGAGCAATCCTAACTCTCAAGCAACCAGCTAGAAAACAATATGATACAGTAGAAATGTCCATCAATTGGTGCAAGGGGAGTGAGACCACCAACAGAGAAAGAAGGGAAAGAATTACCTATCTCCTTGACTGGTGCAAGCTGTTAGGGCTTCAGATGTGGCAGATGACATACTCTTCCCTGATTCCTCTTCTACCCTGTAGTTCGGACTATTCTCTCCATCATTGCAAAACCACCATAAACTGGCCTCCAGTTTCAAGAGAAGCAAAAACACAACTGCCAATGTACCTAAAAGACCTCTATCTTCCAATTTTAAAGCAAAGAATTTGAGATGTGATTCAATCAGAACAAGAATATGAATACTATTGATGAATACCAATTTAATCCTGCCTGATAGTCAACCCAAAAGACCAGACAAAACCATTAAGTAAGTCAGGCCTTTGCTTCCAACCCTCTCAAAAGCCTCTGCCCCGCTACACCCTATTATTTCTGGCTTCTTTGGAAAAAGAAGGGTCTAATGAGAACATGATATGATTGGCAAAACCAAATGGCCTCATGCAAGAATCTAATGAGCAGAGGGAGTGTAGCCCGACATATTCCTATGAAGGCAAAATTCACTGAATGGTTGCATATGTGTCTTAGCATAGGACATATAGTCTTAAAAGTATATAACACATATTCCAAGAGTTGAATGTGCAACATACAATCCAAGAATACAGTCTGCATTTTGGACTGCAGTGTTGACATTTGGGACTGCATGGAAATGCAATCCACACTACAATCCAAGATACCACCATCTTAGCTACCACCAGCTTCAGTGGACAAGGAGAGAGGAAGCAAACAAATTTCAAGAGAGTTCTGCAAAAAGATAAAAATTACAAATGTAATTTAATTCATGTAAGAACTGCCAGATCTAGCAACTTACAATTAATAATGAAACAGAGTACAGCAAGCGCTGAGATTGACCCAATAAAAAATAATACATTGTTGTACGTGTTATGTGTGACCTGTGGTTATAACAATAAATCTACTTACATTGTTACAGTACGGCCTTGTAAAAAGATAGTCTTGATACAGCATTTTTAAACAATACATGCTTTAATTGTAGCAGCAGTTCATGAGAGTCGTTTTGTTCAGAGTTAAGTGAGGGACAAGTGGAATTAATTAAAATTAATGAACTGAATCAAGACTTTCTGCTTAGATAAGTAAGTACACTGATTTTATCTGGCTTAAAATGATGTTTTGAGGCCAATAGGCAAAGAGAATGTACTATGATGAGAACACCATGCCCAGTAGGTTGCCAGCCACAGATTCAAAGCTCCAGTATAGACCCAAAAAAAGAATTAAGGTATGAGTTTAGCAATACCGGGGGGGGGGG